ACAGCACTACGGAATGGTGATCAATACCGGCAAGTGCACCTTTGGAGTGTCAGAGCTACAATTCCTCGGACACCATGTAGACAAGCAGGGTATTCGTCCGCTCGCAGACAAGGTCTCCGCGATCCGGGATTTCCCGCAACCCACTTCACTGAAGAAGTTGAGAGGTTTCCTCGGTCTAGTCAACTTCTACAGGAGATTCATCCCCAACTGTGCCCGCATCCTTGCCCCACTGAATGACCTCCTCGCAACTCACAACAACCAGCCTCGCAAGCCACTTACTTGGGAACCTCGTCACCAACAGGCCTTCCAAGACATCAAGGCAGCCCTATCCAGTGCTACGCTGCTCGTTCACCCCGACACCACCCTGCCGTTAAGCGTCATAGTTGATGCATCCGACACTGCAGTTGGCGGGGTCCTTCAGCAAGGTAATCCGGGAGAGTCCCAACCCATTGCTTTCTTCTCCCAGAAGCTGACAGCAACTGAGTCACGGTATAGTGCTTTTGGTCGAGAGCTTTTTCGCAATGTACCTGACCATACGACACTTCAGACACATGCTTGAGGGTCGTCGGTTCTGTGTTTTCACTGACCACAAACCACTCACTCATGCTCTGCATTCCAGGCCTGACCGACACTCTCCTCGTGAGATCCGTCATCTGGACTACATATCGCAGTACACCTCAGACATCCGCCACATCAAGGGCACCGATAATGTAGTCGCTGATGCACTGTCCCGACCCGATGTCGCTGCGATCTTCCAGGACACAACAATCGATTTCAGCCAGATTGCAGCAGACCAGAAGGAGGATGAAGAGATTGCAGGCTTGAAAAACTCCACTTCCAGCCTCGTCCTCAAGGACCTCCCCCTTCCAACTGCCAATGGCACTATACTTTGCGATGTTTCCACTGGGAACCCACGCCCAGTCGTGCCTGCAGGACACAGACGGCCTGTTTTCAATGCCATTCATGGCTTATCCCACCCTGGTGCCAAGGCTACAGAGAAGCTCATCACAGCTCGTTACGTCTGGCCAGATGTCAAGCGCGATGTACGCAAATGGGCTCGTGAATGTTCTCCGTGTCAACGGTCAAAAATTCATCGTCATACAAAAGCACCGTTGGGCACGTTCCAGATGCCTGATGCCCGTTTCCAACACGTCCATATTGACCTGGTTGGACCGATCCCATCATCCAATGGTTTCTCATACCTGCTGACCTGCATAGATCGATACACACGGTGGCCTGAAGCAATCCCTATCAGTGACATCACAGCCGAGTCAGTAGCCAAAGCATTCGTAGACAGATGGATCTCTGTTTTCGGAACGCCAGCATCCATCACTACAGACAGGGGACGTCAATTCGAGTCAGCACTGTTCACATCCCTCACCAAACTTCTTGGCAGTACTCGCATTCGAACCACCTCTTATCACCCACAGTCCAACGGTGTGGTAGAACGCTTTCACCGTCAGCTCAAGGCATCTCTGAAGTCTCATCTCGACCCATCTCGATGGACTGAGTACCTACCCATCACACTGCTGGGCATTCGTGCAACGGTCAAGTCTGACATCGGTTGCTCTCCGGCTGAACTGGTTTACGGCACTACAATGCGTCTTCCGGGCCAGTTTGTTGACCCTGCCAAAGATACCACTCTGCTTGATTGCAGCTCATTCGTAGATCGACTACAACATCACATGGCTCAACTTTCACCAGCAAGGACACGCGTCACAGGCACTGCTGTTCACATCCCGAAAGATCTGCAGTCGTGTACACATGTTTATGTCCGCTGTGATGCCGTCCGTAAGCCCTTGCAGCCCCCTTACAACGGACCTTTCCTTGTACTTGGCCGCAAAGACAAACATTTCACCTTGTCTATTTCCAACAAGCGTGAGCAAGTCAGCATTGATCGTCTCAAGGTGGCGTACACAGAAGCTACAATTTCTGATGAGAATACAACCACCTCTAACTCCTCCGGCACTCACCAAGTCGTACAGGATGTTCCTGCACATGCCAACACTTCTTCACCACCACGAGCACCACCTTCACAACTTCCAGTGACACCTCAACTCCCAGCATCACCTCAAACACCACCCGTCACCAGGACAACCAAGTCAGGGCGTCATGTCCGTTGGCCCAAGCGTTATGTGGAAGTTATTGACATTAGCTGAACCTCGCATTTTTTTTTCTTCTATCGCTGGTTCATTCCTTTTTACCCAATTCACCATCTGGGAGGGGGCTAATGTGGTGCCCCTTTTCAACTTTGACCTTATGCTAATGAGCGTGCTTGGTCAGCCATCTTTTGTTCTCGTGTCACCGCGTGGTGAAAGTCCTTCACAGTTATCGGAATTTTCTCCGTGGTTTATTCCAGCTCGGAACTTGCTGAGAGTATCAGCATTTGTACAGTTGTATCCAGTTTTTATTGTACTTTATTTTGGATCGTGCAGTTGACGATCTTTGAGCGAACTCACCTCGTTTGAGGGAGACTTTTTCTCGCGAAATCAAGAAGCACTTTCGCACGCCAACTCGCCCCCACGGACTCTGCGTGTGCTCGCCCCCATTGGATTGTTATACACTCGCGTATTACCCGGAGTGCTTCAATTTCGTCGTCGGTGTCCATAAGACGAACTATAGGGTGAGTTGTTGCGTTCTTATTTATGTAGCTAACCACTACAGCACCAATCCCAAAATTTTCCAAAATTGTTGCTTACATCATAAACTAACATCTGGAAAAAAATTACGAAATTTAAAGCATATATATTTTCGTAATTCAAGGTCAAAGGTCATTTCTTTACGCATTTTCTCTGCGCTTCATGCTGCGACTTTGGTTTTATTCTATGAAATGGAGGCCATTCAAAGAGCTTTAATATGATGTACAACTTGGCTTTGTAGGCACTATAGTTTTGGAGATATACAAGTATTTAAAGTTTGGAGGTCATACTAATTAGTCAAAAGTTTGTTGACCCGTAACTCAAAAACTAACGAGCCAAATTACAAACAATTTCAGTTCTGGGGGCTTCTCATATAGGCCAATCATCACACCAAATATCGTTTCAATCTGTGAGGGTCGGGTCCAAAATCGTGTTGAATTGACACGGTATGACCCTAATAAAGATATTGTGTACTACAGGTGTTGACAGTTGTTGAAACAAGTATTGTGTGTCATTGTCTTTGTTGTTCCAAACAGTCAGAATACACACTAAACTGCTTATTTTGGACGAAACAGGTTTTACGGTCATTGCGTTTAAATGGTGAATATTCTTTGAACGGATTGAGCAATTTCAGTAGTTTTTTCATCTAAAAGTAGCTTATGAAATTGGCTTTCCAGTCATTATTATGTTTGGTGCTATAATTTTTTTTTAAATATGAAATATATTTTTGGGAGTTTGGGTTCCGCTTTTTTTGACTCACCCTGTATTTGTAATCAGTTTTCATTGTTGTGTGACCTTTACTTACGGGTCTACCTGAAGGTCAAAGTTGGTGAATTTAAAATACAGACAGAAGCCCCAAAATCAAAATGAACCAACTTTCTTCCAAACGCTTTGCAGGATTATGATAAAACCTGGTATGAACTTGACCCCCGTCCGAAGACGTTACAAAAATTGTGATGTCATCATGACGTCATCAGGTATCAAATTACAAGTGATTTATTGGTCAAAATTGGTTGAATTGAACTATAACTTGCAAATTGATCGAGTACATTTCTCATTGTTTGTAATCAGTTAGACATTGCCTCGGGCAATATTTTGGATTCCAGGGTACAAAGCCATTTGACCTTTACTTCTGGTGTTACCGGAAATGCAATGACAATTGAATATAACTCGTAAACCGAAGCATTTTACTAATAGTGAGGAATGTCAAACAGAAAAAAAGAGCATGATGATGTCATCACCTGAAAGGGCACCCTCTAGCAGCACATCCAAGACAGTTCAACTTCCACTTCCAATCCCGCTTCCTGAATTGAAAATCACAATGGTAACGTTTGCCTGAACCAGCCTATTACAAACCGTTTAGGAGAAAACCTGCCGAGATTTATTGTCCGGAAAAAGAAAGAAACTAAAGGTTTGCGTTTGTGTTACAAATGCAGAGTGATCGGGCAGACAACTATTTCATTGAACACTGCCCAGTTAAACTATGAATATTTTTTATGTCAGAACAAAGGATCACAAAATTCAACCTTTTCAATGACAACCAATTATTTTGTTTTAAAAAAAGTATACATTTTATGTACACGTACAAGTTATTTCTAGTTTAATGACGTCATCAGTCAAAAAAGGGGAAAGTGAATACTGATATAGTTCGAAGAGGATACATGTTCATTTTGAAGTAAAAATAACGTATGAAAATATGGAAAATATAAGTATATAAGTCAAGGGAGATAGTCAAGGGAGGTAGTCAAGGTTATAGAAAGATTATGTATCTCAATGGCCTGATTAGCAATGACCACTACAGTATATGTATTCACATAGACTCATTCTTTATATATATATAGAAGTTTTTCCAATGTTATTTTTGCCAGGTAAACTTTGGAATCGATTCCAAATGAAAGTGAGATTTCTGGACAGAATTGGAATCGATTCCAAAAAGGTTCGAGTCACCCAAGCCTAATTTGTAACAGCGATATATTTTGTAATGAAGGAAAAGTTGTTAGAAGGTGGCTTTAATAGCACCCAGAGCCTTGGCTTGGCTACCAATTAGAAATGCAGGAACACGTTAGCTGCTGTCCTTGTCTGAATGTACAGCTGTATATTTTAATAACAAAACCTCTACCATCTTCTTACAGAATCTGGACAAGAGAATTCCACTGAGTGGCACGGAAATAGCCGAAGCAGATATCGACCGAAAGCAATTTGTGTTTTGTTTGAAGCCCAACGAGAGCAGGAGGACTTATTACCTGCAGGCTGGTGGTCAGGAGGAGCTAAAGGAATGGATGCAGGCCATCTGCTTTGCCAAGGCTGCTAGTCATCAAGGTGGAACATCACAAACATGCTCTTTGCAATGACCATGGAGTTCGTGACATCATATGCATGACAAAATTGATATTTGTTATTATCAATGCAGTGCAATTTAGGCCATTTTCCAAAGAGTGCGGTGTCCTTTTTTTTTTTTTTTTTACCCCAGTTTCAACTCTTGCGCATTTGGATGGAGGAATCCAAACATGTAGATGGTGGTACGTTACGGTAGGCCTACTGAGGAGGGATTGCACCATGAAGTATGTGTGCTGTACATTTACTTAAGAAAACATGCGAAGTCAATTGGCACATCATGCTGTTGTTAATCAGACTGAACAGAGAGGGTCCAAGCAGCCACGTTTGGTTTATGTTCTCCCTTAACCTCCGAATTCTTTAAAAATCCACCAGGTTTGGGGATTCTGCAGGCCTTAGGAAGCTACAGCCTGCTGAACTATTAGGTTACACACCTATGTTTCTGACACACCTACATGTATGTTCCCACACACCCATGGATGTTCTGACACACCTATGTTCCAACACCCCTATGTTCCGACTGCTCATATTCCTATCCCTAACCCTAGCATAGAGCAGTCGCCAACTATTACACTGAAATATACGTGTGGATTGATGGCCCATGTAGTAAAGCATGTGCCCTTGATATGTTACAGTTTTTGGATTTTCTTCAGGATTGAAGAAGGTAACTAGCACGAGTTCTTTATATTTGATGTGGTTTTGAGTGTATGTGGTAACTATATGAAGTGTTTCTCTGTAGTTCTCTCACCCAGAAGTTGATATCAGATATTGGACCATTCTAACCTAGTCTTTACTGGATTAGCCAGGATTTGAACCCATCAAAAATAAAACATTAGGGGCCATTCAAAATAGTCAATGTTAATTTTTTTAAAGTCTTTTCAGTTTTCAATTTAAGTAATAGAAAAAAATAATACAAGAAGAAGGGGAACAAGTTAAAATACCCAGCGGCCTCTTCAAGATCGTCTGTCATTGGACACAGTAAAAGCTAATCCTAACAAAGCCCAAATGACCCTTTTTAAATTTTTGTAATATAGTGTCTTAGAAAACATTGTACAAAGTTTTGTGTGCTTGGCAATTTCCGTCTGTTTCAACTGCAAAGTTGCATGCTGGAAGCCTGGAAAAGCCATTGACCTTAAATATCTACTTCAATTTGAAGCATAAATTACTTTGTTCTTCAGTGTATTTATATATTAAAGAGTCATTCAGCATTTAAAAAAAAAACAACGAAATTTGGGGTGGATGGGTGAGTCAAAACAATTTGACCCACTAGTATACCGGTATTTTACATCGCTTAATACATGCTTTATTTAGAATCATTACCTTGTCAGTACATTGGACGTGGTATTTAGGGTCTCATCCTAATTTCCGTTTTCGAAGGCCAATTTTCCTATAATTTGACAGGAATGTTGTTTGGCTGGTATTCTACAATATGACATCACTGGGTTGAGCTGCAGTGACTACAATAAGACACTTTACTCTATATTGCCCATTTGCAGTCAAAAACAGGATTTTGTTTTGGTACCATATTTAGTTGGGGAGGAATATAGGGTTCCCATGCACCCCCTGGATATATTTTTTTTAACCTACTTTTTTGTAATCCTCAATGTGTCTAGTGAACGAATTTTGATGTTCCCAAGATCAAATATTGTCCCATGGGGTTCATTTGGCGGCCATCTTGGCGGCCATCTTGGATTTTGACGAAAATCAGTTATTTGACATAACTTTTGAACCAGGCATCATAGAAAGACAAATTAACATGTTTTACTGGGTAATTTGGTTGTGAGGAATCGATTGGAAGTGTTATTTTTATAATGTGGCGGCCATCTTGGAGGCCATCTTGGATTTCAACGAAAATCAGTTAATTGACTTAACTTTTTAACTAGGCATCATAATAAGACAAATGAACACGTTTTCCCGGGTAATTTGGGCGAGAGGAATCGATTGAAATCATTATTTGCATGATTTGGCGGCCATCTTGGCTGCCATCTTGGATTTCGAAGAAAATTGGTTATTTGACTTAACTTTTGTACTAGGGATCATAGGAAGACAAATTAAGCTGTAGGCTTAATCTTGTAAGTTGTAGTATTAGCAGGAAATGGTGATAGTGAACGAACAATCATAGCATAAATATAGTGCGGTATAATCATGCCAGTATGCATGGTGATGCGGCCCTATCCATCCCCTTCACTCATTGACTTGCTGCAGAAAACTGTTGAGGAAGCGGAGGATCAATAGTGGAAGAGCATCAAGCTCTTTCTATAGTGTGACAGTAAAGACCCACTCTTGAGTGGCAGTACCACGGCGAGTTCAGGTCAAGGATCAGGGTGCCTGAAATGCACCTGCCCGCTCCTTTCGTCTGGCTCCCTTGTCAGTCAGGAAATCATTTTTAGCATTTTCAGCCCATCTCACACCTTCCTGCATTCTCTGTCGTCTGCCGTGCATTCCCAGCTGTTGGAACCTATTCCAGATGACGTCCGGTCTCTCTTGCAGATTTCCTTATAGCGGAGATAGGGTCTCCATAAAGGAGATCCTTTAGGAGCAGACCTGAGTCCATCCTCTTGACATGGCCGATGCCATCTAAGACGTCTAATGCTGAGGAGAGCAAACGTGCTCGGGATACCAGCACGCCCTACGACCTCCGTGTTGGTCACTCGATCCTGCCAGCTTATACAGAGGGTGCGTCCTATCGGAGGTGGAAGCTGTTTTAGTGATCTCTTCTCCTGACCGGCATAGGTTGTCGAGGCTTCACAACCATGGAGGAGTGAACTGAGGACACCGGCCCGGTACACTTGAATCTTGGTGTGCCCAGTCATCGTGATGGTTGTTCCAGACTCTCTTGCTCAGTCTAGTTTAATATGACAGCTGCGGCCTTGGCTATTCTGCTGTTAAGCTCTGTGTCAAGAGACAGTGTGCTGGAGATGGCTGAAGCGATGTAGGTATCCACCACCTCAAGAGCAGGTGCGTTGATGGTGATGGAAGGAGGGCGGTCTACAGTGTATATGTTCTGAGACATGACATTGGTCTTTTTCAGGCTGATGGTCGGCCCAAACTGATTGCGGGCATGGGACAGGCAACCGATGAGCCACTGGAGCTGGGCTTCATTGTGGGAGCCAACGCTGTGTCATCAGCAAACAGCAGTTCATGGATGAGGACCTCGCGAATGTTGGAGCGGAGGCAAGAAGTGTTAAATCAGCTTGTGTATGCATATATAGACACCCTTGGTGTAGTCTCCAAAAGCGTACTGTAGGAGCATGGAGTAGAACATACCGAAGAGAGTGGGAGCCAACATGCAGCCCTGTTTTACTCCAATTCTCACTGGGAAGGCATCTGATGTTGCACATTTGAAGTACACTGTGCTGTGCATGCCCTAGTGGAAGGATGTTACCATGCCCAGCAGCCTGGGAGGGGCGGGACAGCTGATCTTCTGCAGCAGTTTAAAGAGCCTACTTCTGCTGACCAGGTCGAAAATCTTTGTCAGGTCTATATGAAGTCAGTATAGAGTGGCATTTTCTGCTCCTGACGCTTTTCCTGCAGCTGGCAAAGTGAGAAGATCATATCCACAGGGGATCTGCCTTCGCTGAAGCCACACTGTGACTCGGAATAGACCTTACCGACAAAGCTGAGCAGAGAGATTCCGCGATAGGTATTACAATCGCACCTGTTGCCCTTGTTTTTCTACAAGGTGACGATATTTGCATCACGTACATGTATGTCGGAACGTTACCCATTTCCCAGCAGGGGCTGAGGAGTTTATGAAGTCGTCACAGCAACGCTGGTTCCCCGCTCTTTAGGACTTCAGGTGGGATACCTGAATAGTGGGATACCTGGGTTGGCTTCCAGGGCGGCATCTCTCACCACATTCTGTGTTGCATACAGCTCAAGGTAGTGTTCCACCCATGTTCCAGCTGTTTCCTTTGATCGGTGATAACTTCTTCCGTCTTGGACTTCAGCATTGCCATTTTTTAGATATTCGGTCCTATTGCCTTCTTGATGATGCCTTAATACAGCCTTCTTGCATCACTGGTCTCTTGCGGCCCTGAGAGCATCTTTTGTGCTGGGACTGGGATCCTTCTTGTGGGCAAGGAAAGCCTTCTGTTGGCAAGGATTAGGCTCGTAAGCGTTCCTACGTTCTCCTTTCCCGTAGGAAGAAGCGGCGAGGTCGTGAATCATCACGCAGGTGGAACCACTTGAATTCCACATCACACTGCCACCACCGCCTGTAAGTTCTGCCAGAGCCTCTCCAAGACTGTCAACAAACTGCTTATTCCTCTCTGGGTTGTTGATACAGCAGGTGGTGATTCACAGTGACACTAATCTTGGTGAGGTGGGGCTTTTTTTGGTACGAGCTTCACTTTACTGGTAACTGGCTACGAGGGAATGGTTTGTATTACCATTAACCACCTTAGGGGTTTACCCCCTTAGCCTTTACCATTCCCAGGGCTATCCGCAGGCAGTGGCTGAAAATTGAGGTAGACTGTCAACCAAGACTTTAACGAGCTCGACCAACCTGGGTTTGTGATCAGTTTTCCTTGTCCTAGGCAGAATGCCTACCCTGGCTTAAGAGTTCTACCAGCTAGGGTTTGATAAAATCCCTAAAAAGTAAAAGGTAAAGAGGACGAGCCCGTGTTCCAGTGAACACAGGTTCGTTCCTTTTATAACCTTAACTTTGTAGGGTTTGTGATCGGAGTTTCCTAGGCATGCTAGGTGGACTTACAACCAATTCTAACGAGCTCCACCGACCCGGAGCAACCTTGTTATAGTCCGAGGGACTCTCCGACACCCTCTGCCATTCAGCACAAATGGGGTTGGCACGAGAAGTCAGACAGTAGTATTTGGTTAAGAGAGGCTAATGGTGAGACACTGTGCTAAACAATGGGATACTTCAATGGGGAAGGAGCAGCTCAATCCGCCATTCCACTCCAGCACATCCTTACCTTTTTACCCCTGGAATATTAGAGTTTGGAATACATGTAGTCTATTGTTTTGCAAGAGTCCGAGTGCAAATTATAAGTTTTAAGGTATTTAACTTGTTTCTATCATTAAATAATTACGTTATATCGATTCGCCATGCCCAAATTACCCCTAAGACGTACGTGCTCACTCATCTTAACGGTATAATGCCTGGTTCAAAAGTTATGTCAAATAACCGATTTTCGTCAAAATCCAAGAGGGCCGCCAAATGCCCATGGGACAATATTTGATCTTGGGAACATCAAAATTCGTTCACGAGACACCTTGAGGATTACAAAAAAGTAGGTTAAAAAAATATATCCAGGGGGTGCATGGGAACCCTATCTTCCTAATAGACTAATTGAACCCCAATAAAAGTTAGGAAAATGCACCTGATTTCATGCTGATCAGCTAATGTGCACTGGAGCTATTACAATAAGTTTCATGAGGGAACATTATGGTCCCCCCCCCCCACTTGATAGGTTTCATTTAGTTCAGTGCAATCACTAAAGGTTTCATTTAGTTCAGTGCAATCACTAAAAGTTCAAACAAGGGATCACCCTTGCTAAATTTATATCATGTACAGAAAAACCACTTGATTTGTGTGGTTGCTTCAGACAGCTTTGTTGGATGATCAAACCAAAGACAAAATGTTTGCTATGCCAAACACAGTGGGGTCCACAAACAATTGATCGGAATAGCGATCATCTGTTATAGTGAAGCTTGGCCACCAATGCTTACTATATTTAAATATGGTAGCCAAAGGGATGTCTTAATAGCTAAGAGTTTGATGTTGCAGTGTTCAGTGCTGTGAATCTTATGTACATGTACAGGAAAAAGCAATACCAATGTTACAAGAAAACTCAAGTCCAACAGAAATTTTACTGAAATTGAACAACTATGAATAATGTCACACAAACTAATTGGTAATTTTATAATGCAGAAACAGTACAGGGACACTTATGGGTATGTTGAAAGTAGAATCATTTTTAAAATTTTGATTTATGACAGTCATAAAACGATATTTCTGTCGCAGTACATGTATATTTAAACTGTTCATCAAAATAGGCTTAAATGCAGACATGTTACAAATAGTCCGATGTTGACACAACTGCCATATTATGTGACAGGAAATACATGCACTGCAATCACACAGGTCTCGCCCCACTACAGCATGAAGCCTGTTCCATGGTGTGTTGTAGCAAAAAGGCGCTGTTCCATTTGGTCATTATGACAACATACAAAGTACATGTGTACTTACTTCTGTGATAAATTACTATAATAGTTTTTAAAACATATTTTATTTACTACAAATTACCTTGGAGATTACTTGGAGATCTGTAGTCTAGCCTCTATTATTAGATAATGTTGAACAATTGTTGACTGCTGTGATGTGAGATATGGCGGTTTTAATACCCAAGGGGTGCACAACACACAAAGTGACGCCGAGGATGCTATGCGCCCTAAGGGGGTTAAAAACAACATATGCCACATCCAGCAGTCAACAATTGTTTTGTTATATCTTGCCAATAAGTTACAAAGATACAGATTTAAAATCTCTAATCAAAAAATAAATGAAATCACTGCAGAGTAAGTAGTTTTGATTACTGTGAGCTGTCCTGCCAGACATGAGATTGGAACGGTGGAGTTCTGAGGTGCGTGGGTCCTACACTAGTCTTGGCCCAAGACGCTAGTGATCAACACCGGATCGTGCATAGTGCGCCCTCTTAATGACACAATAATAAGACCATCGCGTCATGTACTAATATCTTTGGAATTTCATAGTAGCGGTTTAACTTTTCCCTAAGCTTTTCTAGGGAATCAATCAGCGATCGCGTAATGGTTTATGTTCAGTCGCGCGGTTGTAAATATACGTGCTATGTGCGGAAATTCAACTGTGAAGTGTGGTGATCAAGCTTCGCTAATGCAACTCGGTGATACCCACGCGCGACTACCGGTATAAATAGGAAGCTGCCATTTTGTTTGACGATATTAATATTTACATCAACAGTCTAATTTACATATAACGGCCACGCCTCCATTCCTGCAAAATTCCTGCAAAATTCCCAAGACGTTAGTGAGAGAAAGTAAAAAACAGTTGTGCGTGAGCAACATTAACTAAAATCACTATCGATCACTTGGCCCAAGACTAGCCCTACACATGCACCCTTCATGTACGCGAATATATGCAACATGATTATATGCAACTCAGTTCATATGAATAACCAGTCATTTTAGACTGGACACGTGGCAGTTTTAGACCAATGAAATGACAATATCCAAAACAAGATGTAACAAAAATTATAGCAGTTTGCAATTGGCAGAGACCGTGTAAACATCTGATATAAATGCAATTTGTCCTGGGCCGATTTCACAAAACTCATCTCAGGACTTAAGACGAGTCCCTGCTGAAAGATCGATCCTAGCTAAGATACGTTCTAGGACCGATTTCACTAAACGCATCTTGAGCAAGATGTGACGGAAATACAGGTTAAGGGAATTGTGATTGAACAAAGACCCAATTGCCAATTTTACGGCTGTTTCATGTTTGTTTTTACTGCTCGAGGAAATGGTTGATAAGAAATGCACAAAATCAATTTTCCTGCACATTCATAGAACATGAAGTTTCACCTGGAAAAAAAATTATTGTGTGCTTATATAGCATTACATAGTCACAGTTAACCACTGAATTAATACCCTTAATTATGATTGCCCAAATCGCTCCCCGGTTTCATCCCTCTATATCGAGAACCGGTAATGTTGTTATTTAGGTCTAGGGTTATAATTAAGTTAGAAATAAATCATTATTAAAACTACCCGCATGTCAAAACTCCTTTCATAACTGTTTCTACAGTGGTTTTCCTCCTCTTGTGTTGAAATTAGCTTTGAAACTGTCGCGAAAATACATCCTTAGGCCGAAACTCGCCTTTAATGAAAAGACAGTGCACTGATTTTGAGATACAAACTAATGCACATAATCATGACATTAGATGACCCTTAGACCAATCTTAAGTTAAGACGAGTTCAGTAGTGTTGCTAAGGAAGTTAGGATGTGTTGTATGCATCTTAAGTTTGGTGAAATCGATCCTGGGACAAGTTGTGAGTTGCGTTTCCTGAAATTGACCCCTGCAATGTTAACACTGCTATGCCTATTTAATAAAAAAGAACTTTCACTCTTAACCGCACAGGAAAACTTCTTACTGAGCAGCATTTGGTTATGTTGTGATTTTGGCTGTAGTCCCTGTGCACTTCTGACTAGCACCCCTTACTCCTGGGTGGAGAGAGGCTTACTCAGGGTTCCCACACAAATCTTAGAATATATTCCATGAAATTCCAGGACAAAATTAGGACTTTCCATGATCCATCACCAATTTCTACATTTTGCATCTTCTTTACAATACACTGGCCAGTCATTACACTGAGGCAAGTCTTCCAGTTTGACAAGACTATTGAGCAACAAGTATTCAGTATCAGTGTTGTAGTCGAGTCACCAACGCTGAGTCCGAGTCTCAAGTCACTTGTTCTTAGTTGTTCATCAAACTACACGTAATCAATTTTTTAAAATTATTTTTCAATCATCCATTCTGTCTTTTAAGTAAATCCCAGTGTATATAGTTTATCTTGTGTGTGTGTACATGTTGTTTAGGCCCAAAATGTGCTTTCCTTTTAATTCCCATCCCTAAAAAAAACCTCCATCCCTTCCCTCCATATTTTATCATCAAAACATTATTCGTCAATGATCCTTTCCCATCCCTACCCCTTCCCTTGACGTCCCACTTTGTTCCACTTATTCAATTGTTTTGTAGTCTGTGACACTGTGCATATCCTAATCTGAACTTTATTTTTTGTTTTATATTATTTATTGAAAATTCAAATATAAGTTTTGAATTTTAAAGTATTTTTTTTTTAGATTGTCTCTTGTAAAGTGCTTGTTAGATTGAATTTTAATCACTTTTTAATGTTTTTTTCATGTACTGCCATTTTAATTCAGCCTTAGGGCTGCGTTTTAATAAACGTAAGCAGAAACTCGCTGGTACCGGACTCTTTTTGGCATGACACCAGGCCCTGGTACTTGTCGTGCAGGCGCTAGGCGTGCGTGCGCGGCCCCTGGATATGATTTTCCACGGTGCCGTGTTTTGTGTATGGAGTAAAAGAGAATGCTACGTTCGTCGCACAAATACATAACATTGTTTTTTTCTTTGATGAGTCACGAGTCACCAAGCTTGAGTCCGAGTCATCATGGTCGGGTCCGAGTCCAAATCATTTTCCAATGTGACTCGAGTCGAGTTCGAGTCACGAAAAATGTGACTCGAGTCCGACAACACCGATGAGTATACATTCGTAAGAGGAAATATAGAAATTGGGATGCAAACTGGAGGACTGCCTTAGCCAAATATTACGCATCATTCCATGACTTTCCATGATTGCTCTAAATTCCAGGACTTTCTAGCTTTTTGATTGGGGGAATCCTGCCAACTCAAGGATACTGCTTTTGAACCCCGACCCTCTGCTCACGCAAGTAACCCAAGTCACAAACACAAACATCTGTATTTGTTGGTGTGAATTTGACAGCAGTCTATACTACAAGGAAGATGTTTATTGTGGTTTTGGCCATTTACAAATCTTAGTCTCTACTCCTTAGTATCTGGGGAAGTTGGGATCAATGTGGTTAGTCCATGCTGCTAATCCCCCTTTGATGTCCTTAATCACAGCTGGAAAAGAGGCTAGCTTCTCTTGTAACAACTTCACAGCAATCTGCGAGTCATTGCCTCGTCTGCAAATCACCAACACTATCAAAACGAACAAAAATAGAGTCAAATTACCCTTAGGAAAACATGGATTCAAAAACTAGAGGTCTCTAATCGTCGTAATCGACTGTCAACTTGAAGTAACCAAGTAATCCATTAGCACTTGTACTAGTACATTGTATTACAGTGGATTTATTCCGTGATGAATCCAAAGGACCATACAGTGCAGGGGTGGTTTAGGGTGGTACTGCCAGTAACAAGTAGTAATATTTAACTACAAGTAATCCAATACAATGTATTGCGTTTTGCCCTGGTTCGGTTCAGGTTCAATCCAGAAATTTTAATCCGAACTTGGTTCGGTTCGGGTAATACCAATAGGCAGCAAAGTGCAATATAAAAGGCATTGCTGCAGATTTACATACGTTAATCGTTTGCAAATACTTCACTTTTAAGGCACCTTCCAGGACTGAGTCACGTGCCAGAATTAACCTAGCCACAACAGACTGCCACTGCTTTCGAGCGTGACATTTAATAGGAAAATTCAGCTGTTTACATAGTTTATCTTACCCCAAATGCTTCTCAACAACCTTTGGATGTCAAAAATGCTCAGAAAATTACCACTCTGAATTTCTTCTTTTACATCGATGATTGAGAGAGCATGAAGCATTGCCAAACAGATTTCAAATTAGGTAAACAATTATTTCACGATGTGACCCGTAAGGTTTTGACCTCCAAGTTGTCTTATAGCAACTGTGTAAACTGGTTCCCGCCAAATACAGATGCTGGAATGATAAAAGGGCTGGGAACCAGCTGTCCTACTTGTGAACCACAATGCGGCGTGAAATATGTCGTGGATGAAAGTGGAATGTTTTTTTCTGTGCACATACTTTTCAGTTTTCATTTGTTTATTTCAAGTAATTCATAGTTGGATTCATAACATCTGAGCATGATTTTATTCAAATTGCTGCCAGTGCTTTTATGTGGTCGCTCAATCCGCCATGCATGGTCACCCGACGCAGCTTGAAACACGAATTGTGTTGCTCTTGTACATGTTTTTAAAAACTGTAAATAGACGTGATTTGACTGTCCTTTCATTTGAAGTCAGTACTGTCAACCTATAGTTTTTTATTAAATTAAAAGGAAACTCTGATATTTAATGGTGCAAGTTTTGATCATTTTGTTTGAGCAAATAAAAATATGTGGCACTAAAATCACATTTCCAAGCTGCTGAACTGAACAATTCAGTTCAGTTCAGTTCAGTTAGGTTTGGCAGTCCCATGGTCGGCAAATTTCAGCTGCAGCATTAGTTACAGGGCAATTGTGTGGGCGGGTTTATGTCAGCCAGTGAAACATCAATTCATTTGAACACCAGTTTTCAACGGTTGCGATGGGTTTAAAGAGGTTGTGGAATGCTTGAAGACATTTCCGTCATTTTTCGGGTATATGTAGCCTAAGGTGTGATGAAATAAAACGACTATTGTGTCTCTCATGAAATGACTACAAAAGGTACTTTTGAAAGCTGTTTTTCAGGTCCTGTTTCGAACCGAACGTGCAATTTGTGTAAAAGTCGTCGTTGGGGCAGCAAACAAAACATACTAAATCGTGACGTAATAAACAGGACTCGTTTACACTACGCTGCATCAGGAGTCCTGTTTATTACGTCACGATTTACTATGTTTTGTTTGCTGCCCCCAACGACGACTTTTACACGAATTGCACGTTCGCCGGTCAAAACAGGACCTGAAAAACAGCTCTCAAAAGTACCTTTTGTACTCATTTCATGACAGACACAATAGTCATTTTTATTTCATCACACCTTAGGCTACATATACCCGAAAATGACAGAAATGTCTTCGAGCATTCCACAACCTCTTTAACTATGGACCTTATGCATTGCGGTGTCTCAGAGGGTAGTCTTTGTTATTGTAAAGTTACATGTATCAATAATGAATGTAAAGAAAGGTTCACTCATGCCTATCCAAGCAATACAAAAAGTTTGCCTTCTAACTCGGCCTTAATTTATAAGGTCTATTCAACTCTCCAGACTCGAGAAACATTGTGTTTGAAGTAAATAAGTCTGGGAACTAGACAAGGTGATGTAAGTAGAGCGCTCCTAGCTGTCCACCCTCACCTATAAGGATCTATGTCCTGTGAGTGGGTTAAACAAAGCTCCCAACATATGAGCTTGTACCTTGTGCTTTCTCCCCAGTGTCTGCTCTATTGACAGCCTCTCTTCTGATGAGATCCACACAATCTGATTTCCCTAAATCATTGATTGGAATATCTGTAAGGATTGTTAAGAAGTACAAGAAACTGGAAGAAATCAAAATGCAAAACCTTCATCACCTAAAAATGTGGATTGGAATGTACAGTCACATAAGACAAAGATAAGGGACAGACTTTGACAACATTGATTGGTGTTCTGTTAGCCTGGGCTTACAAGCAAATTTCAAGAAGTTGCATAAATTTGCTAAGCACAGAAAATAAAGTGTAGTTGCTTATGACAATAGCATATGATTCCTTCCTCACCTATACCACCCTAAATACCAAGGGCATAATCTCCAACAGTCAAATGTATTAAAGTTATGAAAAAACGGAGAACATACAGTAAAGAAGCTTTGAATGTACTGTTTTGATACAAGGATATCGGAAATAAACAGCGCCCCCTAGTGTCATGTGGTCTGTCCTCTCCCCCTCCCCCCCCCCCACCCCACTTTTTTAATGTCCACAGGTGGGCAGTTTTAAGATTTTTTGTCATTCCCCACCCCCCTCCTCCAGTTGCCAACACGGATTTACGCCACTGATCAATACATAAAATAACTACACGGTATTTTCACTCGGAGGCTCTATGGAATGAATTTGGCTTCCTAATTCAACTAACATCAATATGTCATTTAAAGAAGCTCAATATTTGAATGTTAAGCTACTTTAATTGGCTCGGGCTCAAGTAATAATGGTCATCTCAAAAAACAACTGTCAAATCCAAACAGTCTGATTCAACAACTCGGCTTCATTGACCTCTGCATGAAAAAAAGGATACTGATGAAATGAGGCAGTCTGCAGATTTCAAATTCCACTGCTGGTCTGACATCCAGTAAGACTAATGACGTGACCACATTTTCCTCTTGAAGTATCGATGACAAGTTGTCAACACTGATTCTGTCTTCAGGAGAGAGAAGATGAAGGCTCACACACTGTCAACAAGAAGATTGGGAGAATCAACCAATAGAGGTATACAAAAGACCATGGGAAACAAGTCAATCAATGTTCAAAGATGTAAGGTCCTTACACTTCAACTTCAATTTTTCCCCAACCAATTTGATCCTTGAGTAATTAATTTTTAACAAAAGGAGTAAATGTTTTCTAATTCATACGCCTGCAACACCAAAAAAAAAAGAAGCCCTTTATTTAGGGTACAAAAGGATCCACCTGCAACTAGACGGGCTGCGGTCCTTATGTTATCAAAACTGATAAGGGCAGGTACCAGTCTGCCCTTTGATAATTCTTGTCATCCTGCCAATAAATCAAAACTTAATTATTCCACAACTTACTAACTTAGTACAGAGTACTTGTACTTCTGAGTACAAGTACAGGTCTCCGAGTATGAGTACTTCCGAGTATGAGTACTTCCGAGTATGAATACTTCCGAGTACAAGTACCTGCATTACGAGTATCAGTACAATGTACTTCTTTTTCCGAAAATGGCCGTACAGCAGATGGTTCATTGTGCGTATTTGGCCCAGGCCTACTCAGACGGATAAACAGACCCACTTACGGCTAGCTGTTAAATGTGTTTGTCGGGGCATGCAGAGAAAAAAATCAGGAAAGTTTGACTTCTCTGCAAGCCAATCAGCCATTTCCAATTGAAAGTATCGATAATAAAATAAGGCCGTGGTAAGTCAAACCATACCATTTTTTTTTAGTACTGCTATTTGAGTACTAGTACTTTGATGATCCAGTACAATTTTGACAGGTCGAGTACCAGTACTCTGCTGCCCGAGTACGAGTACAGAGTACTGGGACTTAGGGGCTTATAGACTTTGTTTACATGTATCACCTCACCCTGCTACAAAGAGAAAATGTGGAGGCATGACTGGGAGGGACTCTTGAACACATTGTCCATGGCACCTGACGTTCATGGGAAGATACTGCATGTGCAGATTTGTGCATTCCGAATAAAATAAGTCACTTTGTGAGTGGTGAGGAAGCACCCTATACTGTTTATGCATATGCCACGGCAGTGATTGCATCTTGGTCAAGAAAAGAATCCTCACCTTAGCACCAACATGATGACCCCCCCCCCCCCCCCAATTTGTTTACCTTGTCTGTGGCACTTGCTCCGCAAAATTGTTCATAATCGATGAGATTTTTGACCGAGGGTTGGGTGCCACAGACAGCACAGCCTGGCTGTTTTGGCCTTAGTTTGATGGTGCGAAGACTGCCATCTAATCCATCAACAAGGAGAAGCTTCTGACTGAAGGAAACTGAAGGAATCATTAAAAAAAAATGGTCAGTGATGTGTATGTCACCAATTATTGTCATTCTTGGAACACTGCTCTGTGACTCCCTGCATACAGTGCCCTTCTCAAGACAGGTCTTTGCTCCTCTGCAGTGGACATTTTGTACTTCATTTTCATGAAATTCAACTTTTAAAGAACAAAACCTTTCCTCGAGGAGAACACTTAAAGTCCAAGCGGTCTATTTTGTTGGTCTTTTAGCCAGTGTTGGAGGTCTCGAGGCCGGCCTCGAGGCCGATTTTCATGGCCTCGGCCTTGGCCTCAGAGTGCAAGGCCTCGGCCTTGGCCTTGGAGTGTTCCGGACTTGACGAATAGGTCAAGGCCAGCTCAAGGCCGGCTCGAGGCCGCCCACTTTGATGTGTTTTCTATTTCAATTAATTTAAAGTTTTTACCGTATCAAACCTTCAAAAATCTGCCACAGAGGTTGTGGCCTCGACTACAACACTGCTTTTAGCTTTTATGATTTGTATCTCGTAATATTCTTTACCAAATATTATTTTTTGAACTTTGTATCTCTCATGAGATCTGCAACAGTTAATGACTGTTGTCTGTACCTCTGAGTAATAAGGGAAAACCTACCACTTATACCCAGAGCAATTTTCAATGCCTCCAGTGCCTGAAAGCATCCAATGATCCCAGGAACTGCATGAAGGACAAAATCAAGACCAATCAGAAGTAAAAATTCAGTAAAATTAACCTTGGAACTCTGACACAGTACATGTACTTACCTTAAATTTCACAGGGACATTTCTGTGAGACCAGACACTGAAAAAGGATATATGACTGAGCTACACAATCAAGGGCTAAACAAGATAATTCAACAACCAATAAACTACTAGACGACCTCTTAAAAAAAAAATTTAAGTCAGAATAAGGTCCTTTATTTCATTCTGTCCTTTATTTCATTTCAACTTGTTATTGTGATGAAAACCCAGAGGTTAGAGTAGATTTCATTTCTGGATTTTCAAGGAACTTTAACCAGACAAGAAAACTAAACATGTGACATTGCTACTTCTTGTTCAAATATAGACTGGAAAGGTTATACAGGATAAGACATTTTGTAGTTCTATAGTTTTATTTATAATTCATAAATACCTAATACACTTTACCCATTCCTATTTGTTGAGAGCCCGTGTCGTGGCGGATCTTAAACGGATGATAAAGACATGGCTGGCTGGTCTTAAACACTTTCGAGTGTCAAATGCAATTTGGACTCCCTTGAAATCTAGTGCCTTTAACATTGTCATTCCTCATGTAGGCATGCGCAATACTACCAGTGAATCAGTATTTCATAGTCCGAAATTCACACTGCACCAGCCCAGCTGCATTTTGCACGACATCGTGCAGAATGCGGGGCGCGCACACCAATATCCTTTAAGGTAAAGAGTTGTAGAGGGACATTCCATATTATAGTCAGAGGGGTAGTTCATAAATCATGAAGTGAACTTGTTGAACAAACTGGTTGGCAACGTCTAGTTTTTGACTTGTTTTGATTTTTGGACAGAACAGATTTTGTTTTTTTACCGAAAAGGTATTTATGAATGGGAATAAATATGTGCTTGGTCGGTATTAAACACTCTGTTTAAGACTGTTTGGAGTCTGGAGTGCTGATAATTACCCTCGGCTACGCCTTGGGTAATTATCACCCATCCAGACTCCAACCGGTCTTAAACTAGTGCTGCAGCCGAACCGCCAAACCGAACTAAACATATCCGAATAGCCCTAAACATTGTACCATGGACATGTACATTATACATGTATATGCACTTCTGAAGCCGAACCTAACCGAAGCTCGGAGAAATAAAATTCAAAATCATCTCACTGTAACACCAATCAAACAAACGATCTTGTTGACCCCTTTAATTTGATACCACACTTATTGTTGTAATACTTGTAGTTCTGAAGATATAACAAATTTCTAAAAAAAAAATTGGACTTTGTCCACTTCTTCATGGAACTGCATTTCTAGTGCAAAAGTTTTTACTTACCTACACCAAGAACGCCTCCAGAGGAGCAGTTTGTGACTGTCTCAGGAGGGGGAGGTTTAGGATAAAGACATCGGTAGCATGGGCCACCCTCATAGCTGTACACAGTCAGCTGCAGAAAGAGGAATGTCACACTCACATTGCTTGTTTCAAAATCTGCTTAAGTCATATACATTTTGTCTCATTTCTTGATGAATTTCAGGGAAATAATAAAGTACGCTCCAAATTGTTATAACATTTGTTCAGGCTACATTACAGTAGACATTTTACCAATTTGGGACCTTGAAGACTTTTAAAAAAATGCTTTGCTGGAAAAATTGTTTTGGTATCATATTGACATGGCATTTTCACTTCGATTTTTGTATGAAATAGTTCTAGTTAGGAGTATCTGCACTGCTTGGGTGCTGTCTGCTGGAGCAAGTTGATTTCGAGTTTATTTGTGCTTTAACTTCAAGATCCACTGCGTTGGGTGTCTTTTAGTTTGCATTTTGGATTTGGTCTTAAGTTTTAATTTCAATCCTGGTTTCAGTTCTTGCTTCGGTTGTTTTAAAATCTTTCTTATGAGTCTTGAAATTTTGTAAAAAAAAAATAAAAAATTTAAAAAAAAGTTTTGGGGTCTTTTTTTGTTTGAATCTAAGGATTTGTGTATATTGTCTTCATTCACCACTCCCTAGGAACCTTCCTCATCCAAGCAAATCCCAACACCATGGTAAACTGTACACATAAACAGTTGGATTCCGTGTATTTGTGGTATGCCTAATCCCACGTAAAGCATAGTCAGTTTACTTGTGCAGTACTCATCCTAACAGATTCCAACAAACCCTGATGTTGCGAGTTTGGCTGGTTGGGGATCGTTTGGGTTAATCCAGTTTCTTGTGACCTTTCCCTTCAAAGATCCTGAGATTATTTTAGTTTGGCTACATGCAATCCTTTACTGCAAGTTTCCAACATGTGTCACTTTCCCAGGTTACACAAACACTTAAAAACTGGCGTCTGCCCCAATATATGTTGCATGGAACAATGGTTGTATGAATAAAAACTAGCATTTGCTTTTACATGTACTACCAATTTTTAAGCAATTAATATTAATAAATACAGCAGTTTTTCGCAGAAGTATTTGCTTTATATTTTCAAGGTTGCCCCAACCCAGCCTTGAAAACTCACCAGTAAATACTTGAAATCTGAAGCATTTACTGCTTTTTATTCATACGAAATGAAGTAAACACTTCTTGTCAAGAGCAAAAGCTAACAAGTAAAAAGTTAATGCTGTCTAGTGAATGCTGAACAGTAAAAGAAAACATTTATTTGTATGGATTCAAGCATTTGCTTTTCCTTAAAGCTTATACTCAAAAGTCAATGCTTTTACTTTTTGCTTAAACTTCCTAGCATTTGCTAGTGTTGATTCACATGACCGAATGATCTTGGCTAAGCGGCAATATAGAATGTATCTGGTTGCAGGGTTGGCGATTTTTTGATTTAAAAAAATAAATAAAAAAAGTCAGACTTTTTTTTATTTAAATCAGATTTAAAAATTTTTTTTTAACTTTCAAAATATTGATATGTCTAAACATGTGTCTAAATCTCCCCATGCACCCTCACGCCCATCACAAAGGAGTTTACAGGTTCCTATAATACCCATCATCCACAAAACTCAATAAATTAATGCTTTTGACAAAAATTGTATTGAATCAGTGATTTAAAAAATCACTTGACTTCTTCTACATGTAGTCTACATCATTGGTTCAATGGTACATTGATACTGAAGACACTTTAAAGGTACAGTGCCTGATTGATACAGCTGAGATACGTTGTGTGTGGATATGAATGAAAACTTGATTTATGGTACCTGTAGTATACAAAAAATACAACAGTTCTCCATGGGCATGTTGATTTCATTAAAATGCTTCTAATTTCAAAACCGGCAGCACTGATCCTTGTGTAACTTGCAGTGTTTGAAGGTGGAGAACAGAAATCAGGCCTTACATCTTTAAAAGGTTTTAAATAAATCTCAATCTAAATTTGTAGGGAGAAACGTTAGGAATAAGACTATCAATATGGACTTTTATTACACCTTTTGATGGTTCATGTAAGCCTGCCTACACGAGCTCAGTTGATTCACAATATTACTGTACACAGATCAAGGAATGATTAAAGCAAACATGAGTGTGCTCTCTTTAAAAATAAAAGCTTTGAAGAAAAACTTTTAAACTCAGCTCTTGACTTAATCAAAATAACGATTTTGTGTAATTATGCAAAACCTAAATTGAGTCAATGGTGGTGAAGTAGGGGTGTTTGAATGTGTTAACAACATCTTACACTTTGTAATTAAGTGGAATCAGTTGATTTAAATGATTAAAATGACCCTCAATCAATTGATTTTGCCAAAAATAAGATGTTTACAAAAAAAAGAGATTTAAGGCCAAAAAAAAAAAGTCTCCGGTTTCTGGTATGGAGCTTGCCCCAAAAGTGGTGCGGCGACGCGGCTTTTTTTTTTTTTTTACCTGTTTTTTTTTTTTTTTTGGCTTCAAATGTCGGCTGATGACTGCAAATGGTGCCCGACTAAACTTAGTGCAAATATATGGGAGTCCAGAGAGGCCACATAAAGCTTATTCTCGATCATAACCCCATCTAAAAACACGTTAAAATTGTGCAGCAGCAGAATTCCAGTCAAACCAGTGAGTTTGGCGGTTTTGAGACATCATCTTTTATTGAAAAAAAAACTTTTTCATTTTGCCGACGCGCATGGCTACGGCGACGCGCGCGCATACCAGAAACCGGAGACTTTTTTGGGGGGGCCTAAATCAGTGATTTTTATTTAAAAAATCATTTGATTTAAATCGCGATTTAAATCGCAATTTAAATCAGTGATTTAAATCAAAGTGATTTAAATCAGCCAACCCTGTCTGGTACTCTGGTTGACTGGATAGTTAGCTGCCAATCGTTCAAAAATGTTTTGTAAATTAAATTAGTTTATTGGCATCCTTAACTCTTTAAAATATAATAAACTACAAGGAAAATTGTGCAAAACCTAGGTCCCATCTTTAAAATTTGGTTTTCTCCTATGTTTGAGAGTGGATAAATGTTCATTGTGAAGCTAAATAGCATATGAAAATATGGAAAATATAAGTGTATGTTTTCGTAACACCTAACTTCTGGTTTGATGACGTCAGTCACGTCACAGTATTTGGAAGCAATAGGTGGACATTGAAATGGATATATTTATTTGGGCTACGAAGATATACGACATGGATCAAATGATAGAATTAAATTTTAAATATGATCGTTTTCAAATTCTCCTTGAAATAACTTCCAGTCTGATGTCAAGAATTTGAAACCTTGCTAACTTATCTGTGGTTCATCAAAAAATATCAAGGGGCGATTTGGTAAAAGTTGAACGGATGATTTTCAAATTAATGAAAGAAAACACTATTTTATGAGCCACTAGGGAGGGGCCACCCTTTCGAATGATGTCGTCATCGCACTGTTTTTTTTTGTGTCTGGCATTCCTTACTTAACACTTTCATAATCTATAAGGGAGTGGTAAAATGCTTCCACTTTTGAGTTATATTCGGTCTTATTGCACTTCCTGTAACACCGGAAGTGAAGGTCCAGTGGTTTTGTGTCCGGGGACAAGAAATATTTTTAATTGCGTAGTCTACAACCTAAGGAAAAAAAAGCAAACATAATACTCTATTTAGGTCAAAAGATACAGCGCAAACTATTTTGTAAAAATTTACCCTTAAATCGCTCTTAATTTGATACATGATGACATCATGATGACATAACAGAATTTATAACATCTTCGTAACATGGTTCAAGTTCACACTAGGTTTTATGATCATACAGTAAACCGTTTGGAAGAAATCGTGTTTTGTTTTGATTTCAGGCTGATGCCTTCATTTTGAATTCACCCAACTTTGACCTTCTGGTAGACCCGAAAGTAATGGTCAAGCGAGTTCACGCACATGACAAAATTACAAGGTTACAATTACTGATTACAAGGTTGGACTATAATTGATCTTTTTGTTCAAGCGTTCCAGGTGAGAGAAGATCGTCACCTTTTCCACAAAAATCGCTTGTAATTTGACACCCGATGACGTCATCATGACGTCAGAGTATTATGCACCACTCGGGATCAGGGTCGATATATGTTGAAAGTTACAAGTTCATACCATATACCATTTAGGAGAAACCCACGAAGAATTATTGTCCGGGAAAAAAAAGGAAAGAAAGAAAGAAGATTAATGAGAACAAATCTAAACAGTGGTCAGGTTGTGCCCGACCACTCAATGGTCATAAAATCAAGGCAAGCAACTTCATCTTGATAGACAAATTATTTTAAGAGCTAATCATTTATCTGTCCCATGTCAATAAAAAGCTGGGAATTATCAAACTATTACCAATGCATTATAAACCACCTGGAATCACGCCTTCCTTACCTGACCTTCAAACCTTAGTGCACTGCCAGAGACCAGTGGTTTCCTTGCCAAAACACAGGCATCATTTAGCAGGTATCGCGTTGCTACATTATCAGTGCAGTCCAGCACTATGTCATATATAAGCACACTGTATTAAGGACGAAAATGACTGAACAATACATAATAACTATAAAATCTACAAAAATGCCAAACAATCTACTGACTTTCCATCGAAAAGTTTCCTCTTAGAAAAAAAAAGGCCCAAGTTACTGACCAATTACACAGACCGAACCTACTTATAACCAACAAATAACACTAACCTTTCTTTACTCCAAACACCCAACCAATGACCCAATCATGCAATAAACAAAATGCAGCCAACCAACAAGCTTATCAACCAACAAATACACAAAGGGGTACAACATTTTACCGATGACCTTTCTTGGGGTGATCTCCCATTCAGACCACTAATAATGCAAGAAATAAAATATTACTATTCCTCAAAAATATTCATGATTGAGTGCCGTGCACCATTACGTAATCCAAGGCTAGTTTTGCTGGTGCAGTCAACTATCGCAAGAGTGACCTGTGCAATAGTCTACCTTGCTTGCACTCTACTAGACAGGGTGAGTATTAAAAGGACACACAAATTGAGCCCCCTATTTTTTTATAGAAGTTGTTCATGTAGCGCTTTCCAGATCTAGGTTATGAAAGCCAAATTAATCAGTTCATGTCAGATGACGTGTATACACGCAAAGATTTGTCAGTATTCGGAACGGATAACAGATAAACTCGCAATGAGCGAGGCGGGAAAAAGCTGTCTGCAACCCGCTAGTAGCGAGCGAGGCTGAAAATATTTAGTGAAAGAATCATTCAAATCGTTCATGTACTTTTCCAGCTATGGAATTTTGAACACAAACTACTTTTTTAACCTTGTTCATGCATCACATTTAAGGTACGTGATATTTCAGTAAAATGAAACCAGTCATATCCTGAAAATGATATCAAGGGTAGCCAAGTAGAAGGCAGGGCAATATTATTAATTCTTGACATTATAAAGCATGTTATGGTATTTTAACATTGGAAGCAGCAGGTTTTTAATTAAATGTTATCCGTGGCACACGCAGGATTTGGCTGGGGGGGGGGGGGGTTCACAATTTGTTGGTTGAGAAGTTTACAAAAAATGCTCTTCCCACCTAATGCTCACTGCATCCAAGTTTAGTCCAAATCCAAGACAGCATGTGGAAGTTATACATTTTCTTCAAAACTTTAACATACGGGTCGGTACTTTTATCCCTTTTCTTTAATAGAATTTCCCTTCTGGGGTTCCGTCTTTCTAAGGTTGAGTAGTGGGTTAGCATTGTTCCTTAAAATTCCCTTTGTATGAGTACCCCACAATCGTGTTTCCCTGCCATGCCTTTTACACAGGCTAGTCACCTACAGTCGGATCATATTTCTTGTAGGCACATTGTACCGGTACTGTGACAGTAAAATTCAATCACAGACAAAAGCAGGTAATTGATAGGAACAGCTGGCTTATCAATCTCCTACAGTCAAAGCATAGCTACTGGTGAATCAAGTTTTATAACAATCACAGCCAGTCAATCCTGTAAAATGAAGGCAGGGAGCACTCAACTGTTGAAAACAGTCACTTGATGTATTTCGACTGCTGGGCTGGCCTTTTTGAAATTGCCAGCAAGGGAGGGAGGGTTTATGAAACTGAACTGTAAAGTTTGCCATTATGTTTAAATCCCTGAATGAATATTTCAATACTTAAAAAGGATATTTGTGAACAAGATCCATGGCATTGCTACTGTCCAGTTGCATATGGTAAGGAACACAAGTCACTGAGGAATTCAACCTGTTATAGAAACAACCATTTTGAAATGAATTTACAAATGACACTTACTGTAATGTTGTCAATAAACATTTACAAAAGCTTAAAGCTATAGTCCATCATTTGTAATTAGTGCATTTTGTTCGTTTGAAGCAACAAAAGTGTTCAAAATCTAATGAAAGATACTGAGCAACTAACCTGATGAAGTTTCAGCTAAGCTTCAGCTGTACATTCCGAGAAAAGCAGCATTCTAAGATCTCAATTTCAAATCAAAAGTTACTGAATCATGTTTTGAATTGTTTTGAATTGCAGCTATACGCGGCGTCGCGCACTGATCCGACGAATTATAACAACCGCGCGCGCGCATGTGCGTCGTTCCAATACTTGTGCGCGCTGCGCTGAATAACAAAACGAACTACTAATTTTAATTTTCCTACCATGCTTCTTAAGAATCACCGTTGGAAATGCCTTCTTTCGTTGATTACTTCAAAATGACAGCTTCCCAGAAAGAATAATTTCACAGGGAGTTTAGTTCCCTTACTATCTTTCAACCAAGTTTGTTTTTCAACAGTAGTTACGCCAGTTACTTTTCGGATGGCTGCAAATGATGGACTATAGCTTTAAAGTGTGAGTCCTCATCACATCAACAATAATTGCAATTGTCAAAGCTATTGCACTTAATACTTCAGTTTAACGAAATTATTATTGCGATTTTTAAATTTGTCAAATCGTCATGAAACTTGGTAGGTAGGTAGACAATGTATGCAAATGGGTGATGTGTTCGTCCAAGCCACAGAGCATTTGCTAGTTGGATTTTCTGCAAAAAAAAGGCTTTGTTTTTTTTCTTTCTTCCTCTTCTTCTTCTTCTATCCCAAAATCTCAGACTTTGTAAACAATTTTTCTGTGCGTCACTTTTGGCATTCATCTTTGTCATACATCATTCAAAGTTAACACAGGTATAGTCCCTATAGCAAAATTGTGTCCCGAAGAGTGATGTTGTGATGACATCTTTACGTGTCATGTGACGACATATTAAAGGTGCATTTTTCAATGGCCTGTATCTAAGGAACTACGAGGTTCATTGGTTGAAACTTGGTATGTGGGTCCAATCGTCATGAACCTTGGTGGGCAAACAGACTATGTCACAAATATCCAAAATTTGAAGTGTCATCATGATAATATAAATTATAATGGATATATAGGGCCAAAATCCGTCTAAAAAGATGCTCATCGACTGATTTTTAAAGATTTTTTTAATTTTCAAAATTGTATTCTACTCACAAAGTTTTATATCTTCTTTGATAAGATCAACTTCAAACTTCCCAAGGATTAAGATCATATGGTAATTGAATGCATTGAAATGTGACATAATGATAAAGGTCATCAAAAGTAAGGGCCTTAAAGGGACGTAACATCAATCTTACTTGGGAAAATATTTTGTGCAACTTTCTACTCCTGAAAATGTATAAAAACTATTTGACATTCATTTTCGGTTAATTTTATTGAAAAGTGCACTTTTTTAAATTTTAAAATTTTCCATGCTTTTCCTGACCAATAAGGGTTTTTGCTGTGATGTCATTTCAAGAAGACTGCTGCTCACTTCAGGGATTTTCTGTTCAAATTTTCAACCCTAAATTTGCTGATTGAAAACATCTATGAGAAAGGTATGCTCACTGGCTTACTGTCATGTACTGAAACAACAATGAATCGCCAAATAAAAGAACATTTAAAAAATAACCAGAATTTTTGCAAAGTTTGTTGCTGAAATAGCTGAAACATTGATATTTCTGCCTAAAATGACATCACCCATTTGCTCATGAATATGGAAATTGTCATTAGCACAAAAACCAAAAAGGCACCAAAATTCCCTCAAAATGGGCAAATTGAACATTGAAAATAAAGCCCCCCCCCCAAAAGGCTCCGGTTTCTGGTATGCGCGCACGTCGCCGTAGCGGTGCGCAAAATTAAAAAGTTTTTTTCAATGTAAGATGATTGAATATCGTGTTTTTAGATGGGGTTACGATCGAGTATAAGCTTTATGTGGCCTTTCTGGGCTCCCATATATTTTGCACAGAATAGTCGGGCACCATTTGCAGACGGTGTTGTATTTTTGTGATTTTGTGTGTGGAAGCCAGACGTGTGTGTGGAAGCGATGGTCGTGTATCTGGAACCTACACTTTTTAATCAGCGCAATCAGTGTTGTAGGTCTCGAGACCGGTCTCAGTCTCGAGACCGGTCTCGAGACCGGTCTCGAGACCACTTTGTGCTGGTCTCGGTCTCGGTCTCGGTCTCGGTCTCGGAAGCTGTGGTCTCGGTCTTGGTCTCGGTCTCGGTCCCCTTTGGTCTCGATATTTTGGCTGGTCTCGGGTCGAGACTGGCAATATGTAGCTTTTACAGCTCGATCAATTACTTTGCGTTCACTTCGTTCAGTACCGTTGTTAGTTAAAACATTTGCTAGCCCGTAGATCAAGCTTGTTATATATCGTGGTCAGTTTGCCGGACTCGACTGCACGTTGGAAAGTCCCCAAAGTACATGTAAAGCTGCAGCAGTACCAGTCACTGAACGATTTGGAGCAAGTTCGGCATTTATCTGTTGAGTTGGGCACATAAAGCAAAGTATGAACTTGTAACAATTTATGCAATAAGGGTCAACCATTTTCGGGGATTGTGTAGTTTAGCCCACCCCTGTGGGCGTAATCACTTGCATTTTGTATTCTGATAATAAATGAGGTGCTTCAAATTAGTTATATTTTCGACCCCACACAATGTTCTCTTTAATTTGGGACAGTATTTTGAAGAAAAAGTAAACTTTTCTACCTGATTTTCCAGCATTGAACTCACACACTCTTACCAGTTACCACTCACTGTTCATTACTAACTCGCTGCTTATTTTGAAGTACCCCATTATTCCTCAAAAATTCAAATCCCGTTCAGAATTTTTTTTTAAAAATCCATATCTGGCACATTCTGGCTACCACCTCGCAACTTGTGGGTCTACATACATATGTACAAGTCCACATTCTATGACAGAAATTTAAAAATTAATTCAAAATTTTCTAGCTCCCATTTTTTAAAATCAAGTACACAAGTCTTGTTAGAAGTTAAGTCCTATATTTATTTTAGGAAAAAAGAGGCACAATGTAAAATTAAAATTGCATCTTTAAATATCCGTTAGAAGTCATAGCTGAACCCAAAGGGAGACTTTGGAGTTCAGGATCCGAGTTCCTATAACAGATGAAACATCTACCTTTAACTTTTTACTTTTGTCACGATTGGGTGCAGACAACATGTCAAAGCCCATATTTCTTAAGTGTAACTACTTTTTACTCAAGTAAGGTGTCATGTATCAATTTGTCAACACTGCCACTGGTCAAAATTTTGGTCTGTATTATTTGTGAATAGAAGGGTTACATTTTTCATCTATAATAACGTGTCTTGTTTTTTTTATTTCGACTATTGTTATTTATTATCAGCGGTCTTGGTCTCGGTCTCGGACCATTTCGGTCTCGGTCTCGGTCCGCCTTGAAGGGGCTGGTCTTGGTCTCGGTCTCGGTCTCGGACTATCCGGTCTCGACTACAACACTGAGCGCAATATGTAAGGGAGCAGACTAATGACCAGCCTGGCAAAAGTATGTTGCCTGGCAGCACAGGCACGATGTCGGATGTCGGATGTCGCTGTATGGTATGACGTTACTGTTTTCTCTGATTTTTGTCTTGACTATCCAAATTTCCCGAAGAATGTTCATGTTGGTTGAGATTGTAAGTGGGTGCAGAAATCTCAAGCATTATGGGCTTATTAAGGTCACCTCAAGCTCCAACCTGAAGGATATTTTTTGAGAGTTTTAAGGGGATTGAAGCATAATCATCTGCAACATCAGCCGACATTTGAAGAAAAAACTAGAACGGCGAAGCCGCCATGGCTCGCTGTCCAAGGCAGGAAGGGAGGCTGAAGGTAGGGTTGGGGATGGGCATGATGGAAGGGGATCAGGATTCTTGTTGATGTGCCTAGGTGTAGGGGTCAGTTTTTAAATGTCAACATAAAAAGTCAACAGATTACCTAATAAATACATGTGTATATACCGTAGGCTAGCCGTCACTGTATTATGGGGGAGTTTTCCATTGTTAGGGTAATTAGGACCCAGTTGTGGATTTTTGCAGCCCCAACAGTGTCTTCTGCTCCCCATACTTGTATTACCATGGGAAAACTCTTGTGTAGTCGCCACAAATGCAGAACAAGAATGGGTATACATGTACATGAAGACACAGCACCATCACCACCTCCCCCAAACCTTACCCTATCCCAAAACCTTACCCCATCCCCAACCCGCCCCCCCCTCCCCCACCCAACCCCCTACCCACACCCATCCCATCCTCCCCTAACCATCCCCACCCTATCACCTACACATCCCAAACCCACCCAAACTCCAATCCCTATCTCCTTTCCCCTCCCCTGACCCGTACCCTCCCCCACCCCAACCCCCTACACCCACCTACCCTATCTTCCCCTATCTGTCCTTACCCACCCTGCACATCCCCACCCTAACCCTTACTCGAATTCCAATATCCCGCCCACCCATACATTCCCACCTGACCCCATGCAACCCCTACTCTGATCCCTATATACTGCCCCCTCCCCTTATCCAACCCCTATAACAACCCATCCCTACCCATCCCTACACATCCCCAACCCAACCCCTACTCCGATCCTATATCCCGCCCCCTGCCCAACCCCCTCCTAACCCAACCACTACATCCATGCCCATCCTCTCCCTACCTGTCTCTCCTACCTGTCTCTCCCTACCTGTTCCCACCCCACCCCACCCGATCCCAGTATTCCAACCCCTCTCCCCACCCCGCCCCACCCATCCTAGCTCCCCTACTCATCCTATTCACACAAACCCTAACTCCAACCCTATCCCCCAACCCACCCCACCCCACCCTACTCCAACCCAATAAACTAAAAGATCAAACCAGAAGCTCATGCACATCCCCAAAATGCATAGTGTACATGTATGTACATGTTATACCGGTATACACACATGTACATGTTATACCAGTATACATGTATATGTAACAATTAAAAACTTTAACATTTCCTTGAATTAAGTTCCTCAATAAAATCATAAAAATTTACTGCAATGATATGAACCTACCTGAAGTTATAGAGATGATACATGACAACTGCATTTAATTTTTTTCCCAAGTTAACTAAAACCAAAAACTTCAACATTTTTATCTGAACGCGGACGGACAGACGGGCGCCCGGACAGACGGACGGAAATTGGTATTACATAGGCTCGCATCTGCTTCGCAGCTCGCCAAAAAGTAGGGGAAAAAAAAAAAAGCTTTTGGGCAAGCTCCATACCAGAAACCGAAGATTTGTTTTTGGCCTAAGGTTAAATGTAACAAAATTACTTTACATGAGCCCTTTATTAGACCAACCTTGAGACACTTGATGAGATGGAGGTAGACTTGGAGTGTCCTATTCCAGCCTCAGAGTGTAGCACCTGGCGATGTAGATTACCTAGCTCTACTGCATCATAGTCAACAATACCAAGGTGACCTGATGTGAATGGAGAAAAGCCCCCAACAAAAGGGATTTGTCATACTTGGATTGCTGAGGCACTTTACAGTGTTGTAGTACTTGTAGGCCTACACGGTACTCGAGTACTTTTTTTGAGTACTCATACACGTACTCATACTCGAATGTCAAAGTACTCGTACTCGATATGACGTTACTCGCACTGAAGCAGCAAAGTACTTGTACTCGCACACACGTTTAAATTGTACTCATCATCAAAGTACTCTAATAACAGTACTCGATAAAACAAAGTACTCTTACTCGAATAGCCGTACTCGATAAAAAAAAGGTATATCACTTACGTTACCACGGCCTTATTTTATTGATACTTTCAGTTTCAAATGGTTGGTTGCGTAGAAATTGAAATTTTCTCTACTCTACGCACATCCGGACAAACACAATTAACAGCTAGCCATGACTGGGTCTGTATATAGGTCTGACTGGGCCCGTGTCAATTACGCACAAGACCCATTTGCCGTATGTGGGCGCAATTGCCAATCATTGCACACTCTTGTACGCCGAGGTGTTCCTCAAAATGGTCGTAAGAAGAACTTGGGTGATTGGAGCAAAGCCGTTATCTGAACCCCGGTTTCAGTCCTATAATACGGGTCCAGTCCCATTGCCAATCTGCATGAATGGAGAAAGAGACACATCCAAAGCCGAGGTTTGAAAAAACAGCCCCTAGTCTGGTAATGGCAGCAGGTCCACAGCGGCCTAGCCTTAACAGAGGCCTAGGAATGGGAAGCAGACTAAATGCGTAGACACCAAGAAACCGAATCTGCCGTTTTTTTTGCATGCACGTTGCATGTGTACGTTGTAATGTGTACATGTACCGTCAACGTTCGCTTACGCTTGCGTATTGCCTGTGTGGCACTTTTCACTTTTCTGTACCAAAATTGTATGCTTTGTTTGTGCAAAGAATAATAATTATGATGAATGATAAAGATGAATAGTAATAATAAAAATTAAATGCATAGCACTGTAGATTAATTTTATTAAATGACAGTTGACCTAACCTTTCATGTCTGTATCTCACTCAGCTGTGTAGCATTTCCTTGGAAAATACAGTTACAAATTGATTTGAGACTGCTGTTGCCGATTTAAAAAACAAATTAATTTCAAATATTAGAAAAAGCTTACAAAGACGAACCCTAGTTTGCAACACAAGTGATTAACAGTACACAAAATTTTAGACTTCAAGCACAAGTGTACCTAGTGCCGTATTCGGAAATTTCAAGTATTCGTACTCCTACTCTTACTCGTACTCGGACGTTCAATTACTCTTACTCGGAGACCTGTTTTTGTACTCTAGAGCACAAGCACTTGTATTTGTACTTGGCAACCTACCGGTAGGTACTCGGCAAAAAGTACTCGACTACAACACTGGCATTTTTATTATGCACAGTGGAAGACAATCCTCCACGTAACACACAAAACCAATTGGCTGTGTTCTTTGTACTTATATTTAACTTTCCATCATCATCAAACACCCTGTGCTTAGTACAATTTAGCAAGAGTTCAGGCAAACTTCCTCAACTCCAAAATTCTCTGACATCTCAAAGTAGATCTCAGAAGGTTAAGGCACAAAACACTAATTCCCTAAGAATACTTCACTTAAGGCTTTCCCAGATTTAAAATGTACCTATTCCCGCAGCAGCTAGATAAATAGCAGCAGGGCATCCCAGGCCACCAGCACCAACAATCAAAACAGAGCTATTGCACAGACTGAGCTGACCTGAAAAAAGACCCAAAAAAATCTTGCTTTAAGACAAGGTCATGGAGTAATGAAAGATTAGCTCAGAGTTTGAACATGCTCCCATTGAAGCTGATAACAATCAAAGTGTCAAGTGGAAAATCACTATGTAAACATAGTAAAATCCACTGTATTGAGATTTCATGAATGCATTGTATCAAGTCATGAACGGTGAGCAAATTCTTGGTCAGTATTGTTGTCAAGTCCATCACAAGTACTCCAGTCTCAAGTCAAGTCACAAGCTATTGAATGAACCAGCCATGGAGTTTTGAAGGCCCAGGTGTCGCTGTTATTTAGTTTATCCAATTACATACATTAAAACATGGCTTCTTGAACGTTGTGTTTCTCAGAAAATATGTTCAGTATGATTGAAATGATAAATTATAATGGAAGAAGAAATTCTAAACTTCATGCCAGTGAAAAAAATTGCCATCATCGATACCGAAATGTCAATACTGGTTTTTGGTAAAGTTGACCTTAAAGCCGGAAAAAAATTGTTCAAAAACATCCCCAAATCTATGTATTGATCTCAATTTCTAGGAATTCCCTCAAGATGTCATGGCTGAAGGTAGGGTTGGGGATGGGCATGATGGGGATCAGGATTCTGGTTGATGTGCCAAGGTGTAGGGGTCAGGTTTTAAATGACAACATAAAAAGTCAACAGATGACCTAATAAATACATGTGTATATAGGTTTGCCAAAATACATAGGCTCGCATCTGCTTTGCAGCTCACCAAAAATGCACGTAGCCAGGCCTATTTTACAAATTTCAACGAAAAGTACTGAACATATTAAAACAATTTTTAGCACATGCAGGGTGAGTAAAAAAAAAAAACCCAAATGTCATGACTATTGTTTTATTGAAGTTCTGCATGTAGCACTTTCAAAATCTAGGACATGAAAGCCCCATTCAAAAGCTTTCTTTTTACAAGAATCATTCAAATCACTCAATGTACTTTTCAAGTTACGGAATTTTAAACACAACCACCGTTTTAAAGTTCTGTCCACGGATCACAATAAAGGTGTGCATTCTTTCAGCAAAACTGTAGTCAGATCATTATAAGTGAAACAAACCCTGAAATATGCATGAAGATACCGTCTCTTAAAATGGGAGAAATTGATTGTCAAACATTTAACCCGCGAACGTGAACATGTCTGTGTGCCTGTTGTTTCATTCAAAATAAGGTAATCTTTAGAAATCGGCCTTTGCAACCATATGGCTGGAACTGAAGCAAAAAACATTCTGTTGTCATTGTTCTCCATCTCTTACTTGTGACTGGACTTCTGAAAGACTTGTGATGTACATTGTACTTTTCACCAGACTTGTGATGGACCTGTGATGGATTCTACTACAACACTGTAATCAGCTTGAAACGGCAGGTGCAACAAACCAAATAAAAAATGGCCTGCAGTTAATCATTCACTGTTTTAATTACATCTAAATGATTTAAGCAAAAGTAATTCAGTAGTCAATGTGCAATTTTCCAGCATTGTGTTAAAGCAAAACAATTGTTTGGATCAAGATTGTTTCCATGATTATTATGTCCCTCTTTCAAAAGACTGTCTTATTATTTCATGAAAAGTATTCACCTTTGACACCAATTTCTGGTAGAATGAGTTGTCGGCAATAACGTTCAATACTTGCATTGTCCAATTTTGTTTTCTTTCTTGAAAGAGCTGTGTTTTCACAGCACTCTTCCTTCATAGGACAATCATCCGGAAGCCCCTCTTCCTGAAATTAAAATGGAAATTTCAAACGACTGTAAAGGAATTTGAGAAGTTAAGTTTGCTTTTTTCATATGTTACACACCTTTTTTTCTTGTTTACACAAAGAATTTTGAACATCATGTTTAGTCTTTACTTGAGCATCGTAATAAAGGAGAGAAAACAAATAAATCTGCTCTATTCCTAAGTGCCTGTCACACATACATTTTTGAGTTAAATAAAGCACATGACAACGTTCAATAATTTGCAAATACAATTTTGATGAATAATGTCAGACTGTTTTACATACCAGTACATTGACATGCTATGTACATTGTAGCTGTCAAATGTTGTAAGCCACTTTATAAATATTAAGGCCAATTAAAAAAAAACATGTTTCTGATCCAGAATAGGCCTTTATCATTGATCATTTTCAAATTGATTATTTCAAAGATGGATACCATGCATATTTCAAGATGGCTAATGGTGCCATTTTAAGTTTATATGGTGCAATGCAGAACAATAGTCCACTTGCTAAACCGGCTGCTAAATTCAAAAACGGTAAACTCCAGTCCCGATTGTTATAGTATACATGTATTTTGGAAGTGTTATTACCAGTATTAAAAACTTCATGATTATGACCTGTTGGAAAATTTCACCCTTTATTGCATCACTGCGTGAAATTAACGGCATTCAGATAAGGCCAGTTAGGCCAAAAAAAAAAAATATTCGGTCTCTGGTCAGACCAAAGTTCTGAAATTGACGCGGCCACGCGGCTTTTTTTTTTTTTTTTTTTTTTTTTCCAAGCTTGGATTGTACAGACAAGGTAGGGTACTGTTTTGCTTTTTTGGTGTCCTCATGTACATTGGTGTCCTCTATAATTTGCCTTGGTGCAATTTCCCATTCCTTGGTGCTCTTTGGTAAAAAAAAATTGAGGAGGTGCGGAAATAGAGGGCGCTGTTGGAGCTACCGCGGAACATTTTGGGAAAAAAAAGATCGACGCGCATGATTAAAATCGACGTGCGCGCTGACCAGAGACCGACTTATTAATTTTTTTGGCCTTACATGCTGTTTCAATTCAAATTAGGGTAGGTATTGTACGTCATGAAATTGTTTTATTTTGGCAAATTTTTTTCTATGCTGATGAAATGTATTCAAGCTGTAGGCCTGGAGCTACATGTAAGTATTTCCACATCGAAAGCAGGAATGATTTTTTATCTAAACCACCAAGCTTTCACAACTTGGTATATACCCTTAAGTGGGATGTGCTAAATGAAAATTTAAGTTACAACACTATGACCTCATCACGTGACATGTGACATCATATTATTAAATGAGCACATTTTGAAGGACATTGTCTACAGAACAACAGGTCTGATTGGGTTGAAACTTGGTATGTACCTAAACCGGGATGTGTAACTACATGTAAACCGGGATGTGTTATAGATGAAAATTGAAGTGCTATCAAGATGACATCATCACTGACATGTGACGGCATATTAAATGTGCATATTTTTAAGGTCAATATCTACAGAACTTTATTAGGCCTGATCACCCTATTGCACATGTTTTCCTATCAACCTTAAATGACATACAAATATCACAAATTGCTGAAACAGCCGTATGTTTGTACACAAACATAAGTAAATCTAGTTGTCTTTTCCCCTTCTTATTCAGCCATTCCCATAGAGCTATATTAAATTACTAGAGCGCTAACTCGTCATTCTGCGCGCGGAGACGCTTTGAAGCCGTCCTGGGCGCAGACATTTTGAATTCATGTGCGTGTGTGTAGAACATAATGAAATTAGATGGATTGAATTTTTAAAGTTCATTCTACATGCAACGCGCAAGTAGAACATACGCAAACAACTTAAGCGCGTCATTGATGGTTCAAAAACGTTACGGCAAAAAGCATCTGCAGCAAATACGCGCACGCGTTGCGTTGTTTGCGTAGAGCAAAATGACACGCTCATTTGCTGATCGTGCAATTCGGTTTTGGGCGTATTGGCTTCGATAACGCACCGGTATGGAATACAAACGCAGAAATGCAAATAGCCGTACAAAAGCCGTAAAAAATTTCTAGGTCTCCATAGGTTTGTGCATAAACATGGATGCGCCCAGCAGGCATTACTTTGTACACGAAGTTAGTGCTCTAGTAATTTAATATAGCTCTATGGCCATTCCCCATAGCGTTTGTACATGTTATCATCTTGGAAGGCACTTTGGGCACTAAAATCAATCGACTGACTTTATATTCGGCATATTCTTAGACCAGCATCTGAAGATGTGTGCCGAACATTGACTTCATCATGATGTCATCACGTGACCTGTGACATCACAATATTTTGAAGGACCATAACTACAGGCCCGATTGGGCTGAAACTTGGTATGTACCTGAACTGGAGAGTGTTGTAGATGGAAATTCAAGTGACGTCACGATGACGTCATCACGTGATGTGTGACGTCATATTAAATGTGCATATTTTAAAGGCTAATACCCACAGAACATTTGTACAAGTCTGATTGGGTTGAAACTTGGTATGTACCGGTACCTAAAGCGGGATGTGTTATAGATGAACATTGAAGTGACGTCACGATGACGTCATCACGTGACAAGTGACGTCATATTAAAAGTGCATATTTTGAAGGCCATTATCTACATAACTAAAGGTCCGATTGGGTTGAAAGTTGGAATGTACCTAGACAAGGATGTTCTATAGATGAAAATTTAAGTGATGTCACGATGACATCATCACATGACATGTGACGTCATAGTGAATGTGCATATTTTGAAGGCCAACATCTACAGAACAACAGGTCTGATTGGGTTGAAACTTGGTATGTACCTAGACCGGGATGTGCTATAGATAAAATTAAAGTGACGTCACGATGAGCTCATCACATGACATGTGACATCACATTAAGTTATTAAGGCCCATATCTACAAAACAACATGTCCGATACGGGTTGAAAGTTGATAATGTACCTAGACTAGGATGTGTTATATTTACAATTGGCCAATACTTACAAAACTGTATTGGTCCTGATCACCTCTACCGCACATGTCCTATCAGTCTTACATGACATAACCATACAATAAATTACCGAAACAGCCGTATGTTTGTAAACAAACATAAGTAAATCTAGTTGTGCCTAAAATGAAGGTTACACTTGAAAAAGGGATGAGAGTTCCAAAAAGATGATATTTTGAATATTCTTTCATTATATATGACGTTACAATTTTACACACCTGAATTTACAAAATGTACGTGTACACCCACATCTTATTTCCAATGAGCATTAGTTGGGGTTTCCTAAGCTATTAAAGGGAATATACATCATTTGCTTTTGCTGTAATTTTCAGAAATGGATGGAATTGGGGGATAGGAAATATATAGCAAATATAGTTACACTGACTTTTTTGAGGTTTTGGGTTCAAAAATGCTATAAAAACCAAGAAAAACGATCATTTTCCTGTAGTCTGGTTCCCTGACTCCATATAAGAAGAAACAGAGCAGTTTACATACATTGGGGAATTGTAAGGTCAGGGAACCAGTTTAGCTGGCTCGTACCCGTTCATAGGTTTGTAATCGATTGCAAACAAGTGCGATGGTCAATTGGGGCCAGTATTTGAAAAAAAGCCAGTTGTTTCCAACGCTGATCGGCCGATCAGCGTTGGAAATTGATACAAAAATACCACTTTTCTTGAAAATGACAGTATACCAGGTGCCATGATTTTACAGGATGCTTTACACTGTCATTCACTAACAGTCCAGCAAAGTATTTCAAAATGATTTGGTAGTTTTATTTTTTGATGTTTGCAAATGTTGTATTTTCCCTTTAAGCCTACCTTCTCCAGTTGTCCCTTGGGATTTTTCTCCTTCAAGTTCAACATCTTCTTCAAGACCTCAATCTCTCTCCTTGCATCTTCAAGCTGAGCTTGAAGCTTTTCCACATCCATGACAACAAATGGCTGCCATGATAAAATTAAGAAGCAAATTAACGTCACATCAAAGTCAAAACCCAGACAATTTTGAGGACAAGAAAAGTACTCTCCCACATGTATTGCTCAAATGATTCACGTTGTCATGTAAGTTGTTACAGTGTTAGATCACTTGGGACCACAATTAGACCTTTTCACCTGAAAAAGATAATGTGTGCAAATGAGGTGGCAGTGTAAGCGGGTCCATTGAAAAGGTACAGGGGTTAAAACATTCAGGTTATTTTCTCTCTATCTGTCTTGGATATCTCACATTTTTTCTTGAGAGAAGCCTCAAGGGCACAGCCTAATTTGATTTACATCACCCCGACGCAAAAGTTCCATCTTATAATAGTTAATGCGGTACCCGCTGTTATGTACATCCGATCCCGTTAGCTCGGTGGTCGAGTGGCAAGACATCTACACTAGAAAGCAGGAGGTCGTGGGTTCCAGTCCCACCCGAGTGATTTTTTCCAACTTTTACTCTGGAGGTAGCACACTGAGTATACAGTGTTTATACGTCGGTGAAGGGCAAAACCTAATTTGATTTACATCACCCCGACGCAAAAATTCCATCAATCATACTGGTTTTTATGCTCAAAATAAAAACTTTAAAAAATGTTTTTGCACCGAGCACACGATGTTGAGGGAAATTAGCAGGGTTCCTTTTTGCACAAGTGAAAAGAAAATACCTGTGTGATTCTGGGTATTATCCATCTGATGTTGCAAGCACGGGTATGTTGCATACGTACCTTATAATAGACACACGCAATGTGTATCGTACATTGACTGAACTGAAAACGACAGGAAAAAACGAATTCGTACTCCGTCGTGTCCGATGTAAACAACCTGGGTTTTGTCGTCTTTTCTCGGGAACGGTAAGCCATTAGTTTGGTTTCCTTTCAACCAGCGCGCAATCATCTGCAAAATGGCGGGTTGTTGAGCTTTTGACGCAGGAAGGTAGGTCATCGATGAATATCAAAAAGAGAGGCGGACCTAATACACTCCTTGTATGTATACTGGTGCCTCTTTGCCAGCTCTCCCATCAACAATAACCTGTCGGACACCTTACTGATCAATCTTCTGAAAGAGTCGATGGTGTGGGACCTGAATACAAAACGTCCTACCGTATTTTCAGAGTCCAACAAGGAATATATTTAATAAGCCCACAAAAGTAAGCTGTGTTGAAATTTACAACCAGTGTGTCCATGTGTGTGGTACTATCATGAAAATCCAAGTTCGTGGGATGTGTGGACGCGCAGTTCGAGGGGGCTTAAATACAATAAGTTGAGAGAACCAGACAGACGACTGCCGTAACTATAGCCACTGCGCTGTTTTTTATAATTGAAAAAGATACTGTAGGACTAGTCCGAAAATTTGGGACTCTCAATACTGGTATGAGAGTCCCAAAACTGAAACATGCAATGCATAAATGTAGACTGACATCTGAAACAACCAGTCCAACCACTCTTCAGAACTGCGTCGATCAACTGTAAGCTGACTGTGCCAAAAGAAGCATCTAGGATGTCGGGTACTAGGTCACTATTTCTACACATTTCGCCACAGTCAGGCACCAGACTAATGACAATGAATGAAGAAGTTAGTCTTGTCAAACAGTTGGACCATTGATGGACATGTACAAGTCTAGTCTTTAGCCTCATTTTGAAATCTCTTGACTTCTCTCTTAGGCCAAAAAAAAAGTCTCCGGTTTCTGGTATGGAGCTTGCCCAAAAAGTGGTGTGGCGACACGGCTTTTTTTTTTTTTACCTGTTTTTTTTTGCTTCAAATGTCGGTTGATGACTGCAAATGGTGCCCGTCTAAACTTAGTGCAAATATATGGGAGTCCATGAAGAGAGGCCACATACAGCTTATTCTCGATCATAACCCCATCTAAAAACATGTTAAAATTGTGCAGCATCAGGATTCCAGTAAACCAGTGAGTTTGGCGGTTTTAAGACATCATCTTTTAGTGAAACATTTTTTTTTTCATTTTGCCGACGCGCATGGCTACGGCGATGCGCGCGCATACCAGAAACCGGAGACTTTTTTTGGCATTATGTGCAAGCCAATGCCAAATATTAAAGAAAAGTCGCCTTTTAAAAATTGTATTGAGTCTTCAAACTTGGTTGGTGAAATGCTGAGGACCTTTTCTTTGTCCATTGAAAGTTTTGGAGAAATTTGCTAGCTAAAGCCCGGTTCATACTTCATGCATAAGCAAGTGCGAAGCGTGATTCATGTTGTCAACATGTGACGCGCTTCAAACGTATTGTTGACGTCACAAATTTAGCTTCGCTTTCGTTTTCGCGTGAAGTATGAACCGGGCTCTAAGAGAGAGCAAAGTTGGCCTTATTGTCTTTTGCATCGTTTTGAGCACTTAAGGTCCTTGTCTGCTGTAGACCCATGCGGTATTGGTGATCAGCCAATGGACTTGCCTATGTAGCCCTACAGTAGTCCAAACAATTTGGGACTCTCAATACTGTGTACGGTATGATAGTCCCAAAACTTAACCCTAAAAGGGCCGAGGAATCCGCCCCCTCCCCTCAACTTTTCCCGAGATAGCTTTAACAAAAATGTTTTTGCGACCTGAGCTGTTATGACTTTTTAGCCTCAAGCCTTGCGCATCTTTTGATACCAAAAATATAAGAATCAGACCACGGGTTGCGGCGCAGCGAAAAAAAATTTCCGGCGCTATGCGCCATAAAAACTTAATTTTCCCATATACGTCGTGTACCCAGAGCAGACTTACCATTCGTACATATGAATAATTAAATAACCATAATTCCAAAACTCTTTAACCTATAGTCACGAAATTTCTTGGGTATGTTCATGATGAGTTGTTCTATGTATGTATCGAGTTGCAAAATTTTTCGTCACTCGATGGCCGAGATCTTAGGGGGGTGGTATACGCCCCCCCCCCAGTTTTTTCTGTCGTTTTTAGTCAATGTACGATACACATTGTGTGTGTCTATTATAACATACGTATACAGCACCGTGCTGTGCTCATGAACAGTGGTGACCAATCATCAATGCACAAAATGTGGTTTCTTACACGTCCACAAAAGGCAAACATTTTTACGGATGAAATCACCTTTGACCTTTGACCTGTTGGCCCCAAAATCAATAGGCTTCTTAAAACTATCAAGAACAACCCATAAACCAAATTTCAAGTTATCGTGCTGACATGAGTTAACCTAACCAAAATATAACACACAGACAGACACGTTTGTTTATGGAGTAAATCGAGGATTTTCCTCTGTTCCTCTCCCCTTTTCCTTTGTTTGTACTTTTTTGCAACAGCTCTCATTGGTTTTGTACACGTGTTCTAACCGAGGTTGTCCTCAATTTGGTTCCTGTCCTTGATTCAATGTTGAGATTGGCGGTTGTCCAGGTCTTTATTGGTTGTGGCATCATTTGACATGACACTGCCTAGGTAGGTTAAGTGCTCCACTGCGTTGAGCTTGGTGCTGTCGATGGAGATGTGCGGGGTGCTGTAGAGTTCACCAGGTGGAGGCTGGTACAGCACTTCCGTCTTAATCAGAATGATTGTGAGGACAAAGGCCTTTGCTACCCTCACAAAGCAGTTGACAATTCACTGGAGTGCCTCCTCTGTGTGAGCAATCAATGTGCAGTCATCTGCAAACAGAAGCTCCAGGACTAGCTGCTCCATGGTCTTTGTCCGGGCCAGTAGACGCCGCAAGTTGAAGATGCTGCCATCAGTTCGAAAGCAGATGAAGCTGCTGTCTTCTGTGTTATCCTTGGCTTCACAGAGCATCATACTGAAGAATATAGAAAACAGCATTGGGGCAATGCTTGACACCATTGGAAATGGGGAAGCTTGACCTGCCCTGATTGGCCCTCATGTAGCTGGCAGAGGATATAAAGGAACTTGGGTGGGCAGCCAAGGCGTGCTAGGATTTTCCACAGTCCCTCGCGGCTCACAGTTTTAAAGGCCTTGGTTAGGTTTATGAAGGCAGCATAGAGACCCATGTTCTGTTCTCTGCACTTCTCCTGTATCTGCCTAAATACAAAGATCATTTCTGAAGTGCCTTGTTTCGCACGGGCTAGGATCTTGCCAGCAATGGAGAGTAGCGTGATGCCCCTGTAGTTGGAACAGTCTGATTTCACGCCCTTTGTGACACTCACATCTCTGAGGTCTTGTGGGCTGGTTCCGCTCTCCCAGCAAGCGGTGAACAGGATTTTTCAAGTCTGTCTCGTACTAAGTCACCGCCTCGCTGGAAGACTTCTGCAGGGATTCTGCCAGGTGATTTCCCGGGTCTCATTTGGGTGACGGCCTTTTCAATCTCGGAGAGGTTTGGTGGGTGGTCAAGGTCCAGCTTCACTTCCACCTGAGGAATCAGGTCTAGCAAGGACTTCTGCGCAGAACGCTTGTCGCTGAAGAGGCTCTCGAAGTGCTCCGACCAGCACTGCATGATGGTGTCCTTGTCTGTCAGAAGGGTTGATCCATCCTCAGAACATAGCAGTGCCTGGACTTGATGACTGGGGCCTTACACGGTCCTAAGTGCCTCGTAGAAGGAGCCAATGCCCCCTGCATCAGCCAGAACTTGAATCCACTCGGCAAGGGCAATCCACCAGTCATTCTTGAGGGTGTGAAACTGAAGGGTACTGCAGGCTTCTCGATAGGTGACTTTAGCAACATAGTTGTTGGGTTTAGCAAGGACATGCTTATCGCATGCGCATTTCCTTCCTAGTAGCTCCTGTATTTCTGCGTCTGACTTGTCAAACTAGTCCTGGTGTTTCCTGGTTGCGAAGCCTATGACTTCGGCCGAGGCTTCTTGCAGTGCCTTCTTGAGCTGCTCCCACTGCAAAGCATACTTTGCTGACAGCGGCAATGTCAATATCTAGTCTGGCTAGTTCCCTTGCGACAAGAGCTGTACGTCTCTCAGGGCGTTTACTTAACCCCTCTGCATCCATCCTTGTGCGTACATTCCATCACGCAAGTTTCAGGTGTTGGTTTTTCCTCCTTATTATTTTCCTTGTTTTCTGACCGTGTCTAGAAATACCCATTAGCCGCAGCTAGCCAACCAGGTTTGAGTGAGACAAGCTGGGTTTAGACCACCTTTAGGTCCTCCTCCATTCAGAGAGGGCTGCCTGGATGCTCAGGGCACTGCTGGATGGTGTTGTTGTCTGGGGTTAACAGCCTAACGACCCATGTTCCTGAGCCACCTGCATGCAGGATTGAAACTGCAGCTCCCAGTGCCATCTTGAACTTGCTGTTTTGCCTTTTTCCCATCACTACAGGACTTTGTCTCTCTCTAAGATGGATAGCCTTACAGGGCGAAAGAGCTCCACCCATCCTGCTATTTGCCCATAGTTGGGGCAGTGTTGACATGGCGCCAGGGCATGTCCACACGTCGGTGGGCCTGCACACCATGTCTCTGGGCCCACTGCTGCTCCGAGATCTCCTACAGTTCAGCCTGGGGTTGCAAGATGCCCAATTAGCGTGTGCTGCCACGAGAAGGCACTGCAGGAGTCTTGGTGAAGGAGAGGCTGTGTACTGGCAGGGGAAGACTTACGCACTCTGCTCCCCTTTTCGTCCCAAAAACGGGGCCAGCCAGCGGCAGCAGCAGCTGAAGGTAGAAAGTGGGTTGTGCGATGCTAACTACAACTACACTACTGCACTAGACGCATCACACCACCCTGTGGCGAACCAAAAATGCATACATAAAGACATACATACATACATACATACAAACATACACACAGAAGGAATACGCTATCGCAATATCCCCCTCCGGCTTTACAGCCAGGGGGATAAAAAGGCGTTACACCCCAACTATGGTATCGGTCCCAACTATAGTTGGGATCTTCTCAACTATAGTTGGGATGGTCCCAACTGTAGTTCTGCAGTTGGCAGGGGTTTTCCTTAGCGGTCGCCCACTCGCCAAATGCGAGTGAAAACAGCGGCGGGCAAGTCAAAACCCTCCTCTCAGTAGTCCGACGGGCGAGTCAAAAAACTGTTAAAAAAATAAAAATAACGAAGTTTTCCCTACAGTATTTTTCAATCAATCAAAATAAAAAGTTAAGGGTGATACAACACATGAATACTTTTGCCACGCCGACCGAAATAAAAACATCCGTAGTTCGAATTCATATCACTCCATGTACATGTATATTCGCAGTGCGCTGTGCATTGAAATCCCAACGACGAACATGAGGCGAATCAACGTGTATTTGCCATTACACATTGTGCACACATGCAGCGCAAGTGATTTACTTCGTCTGCAGTCCACACGGAACGGACGTACGTACGTTAACATGGTATTCGTATCATACAACATGGTGAGGAGAAAACTTTCATGACAGTTTCACTGCCAAAACTTGTGCTCGAACGGATTCTTGGGATGATTTCTTGAACACTATCAAACGAATGTACCGAAAAGATGAGGACAATATGAGATTCGAGGGGCCTATTTTGAATGTAAAGACTAGTGAATGTAAAGTGGACCGTGCTCCGGAAAACGTTATGGATTGACGTGACCAGCGTAAGTTCGTGGGTCGCCCGCCCGCAGCGCTTCTTG